GGGCTGAATCATCACCCAGGAAGAAAAAGGCATCTCCATCCCCGGCTGAGGGACCTCACTGCAGGCGGCTGCTCAGGAGGAGGCTTTGTCCTTGTGCACGCACCCACTTTCACTCGCATCCCTGAGCCAGGCTTTTCCAGGGCACAACGGATGCCAAAAGCCTGCCCTTTGCTGCACAGGCCATAGGAAAACCCTGGGAACAGCCTCTGGCCAGCTTGGGCCCTGGAGCTTCTCCACAAGCATTTTCCCTTGGGAGCCTCCTGGGGAAGAGCAGCTCCTTCCATGCTTGAAGGTGTTTGGGTGTCCCGCCAGAGCATCCCTGCCCATGGGCCAGGGCATTCCCAGCCCTTGGAGGCTGCGGGATCAGCTCTGTGCTGCCCTGGAGGTCCCTGGTTCCCCAAGGGCCATCCCAGCTCCGCAAACTCGGCATGGAGCAGGGTGCGCTCCACGCTCTGCCCGAGTTAAGGACAGATTCCTGCTGCCCTTGTCCCGGTAGCCACGAGTTAAACTTGCTCCGTGTCAGCAGGGACCGGAGGGAAGCAACTGGCACCCGACTGAAGTGCTCTGAAACGTGGGTGCGTGGAGAAAGAGGCAGCAAAAAGGCTCCATCTCGGAGAGCTGCCGGTGCCAGGGAATGCAAGCGCTGGGAGAGAGCCATGGGGGAAGTAATACCCAGGGAGCAATGGAGACGCATTTGGCAGAGAGAGCCCCCAGCCTTTTAGGAGCTGGAGGAGTTAAGGGGAAGGGCTGGAGGCGATGGGGCTCAGCCGGGGGGTGCCGGCCCCCCAGGGCTGCTGAGGCCGTTGCTGGCTTCGGTTGTGCTGATGGGCAAAGAGCAGGGGCTGCCCTGACCCCCAGCAAAGGGGCCCTGCGGTTCGGGTCCCGTCCCCCCCCCCCCCGGGCTCTGCTGTGGCACAAAGGGCAGCCTGGGGCTGCCTGACCCCGCCGCCGCTTTCCTTCCACAAAGCCATGGATTGTTCCCCCCGGCAGCGGGAAGTGGGAATGGGGGGAGAGGCTTTTGTGCAGGGAGCTGCTCCCGGGATGGCTCCGGCACTGCCCGTCCATAGCCCAGCGTGGCCGGACCCTTGCCGTGAGGATGCTCTGGCCTGTACCGCTCCCCATGGGCTGCACATGGAGCACAGCATCCCCATCCCATCCCTCCTGTGCGCTGCTTGGCAGGGACAAGGGGGCTGCGCTGAGGTCACATCGTGGGTGAGGGCTGTGAATGTGCACACACATCAGGCACAGCTCAGTGCCGAGAGGAGCCTCAACCTTCCCTGGGATCCGATCGATGCGGCAGCTCGGAATAGCTGCACCAGGCTGGAGAGGCATCCGCCAGGGTCACACGGGCAGCATCCAGCACCTGGGACTGATTGCACTGGATAAACGAGCAATTAAAGACATTACAGGGAGACTAAACCATCCCAGACCTCTCCCTGTCCCACCCGGAATCCTGGCTGTAGATCCAGGATGCTCAGCCTGGCTCTTCCCAGTGGAACAGGGACATTGTGGCCCCCGGGGTGGAAGGGGAACAGGCAGATGGGCCACAGCGGGATGCATCCCGGCATGGGATGCACGGAGCCCAGCCTGCATTCCCGGGGGGTTTCAGCTCAGGGCTGGGGAGCTGAACTTATACCTATGGGGGGGGTATAAGCGGTGGGGGGGGGGGTGGGGGGGGTGATGGGGGTGCTGCAGCAGCAGCGCACAAAGCTCATTTGGGCTCTGTGCAGGTCCTGGTACCCAAAAGCCTTCATCTCGTTTAAGCCTTGCTTGATGTCTTAAACCCCCATCACTGGGGGGGAAAGGAGCAGGGGCTGAGAGAGGAGCAGGTGCTGGGGCTCAAGGCTTGAGGTGAGTGGGGCGCAGGATGGGGTGCATGGGGGGTGCTCCCTCCAGGCTGGCCTTTATGTGCCCCCCCTCACACTTAATGGGCAGGCAATTTGCTGGGAAGGAAATGAAAAGGTTTGCAGTGGGAAGCTGGTGGCCGCAAGGAGAGAGGGGCAGCGGTTCATGTGCTAATGCAGCAGATTTTGTTATGATTCATTAAGCCATTAAACTCCCTTTTAATTGGAGGCAGCCTTTATGGAGATGCCATTTTACCCATGGAGAGCAAACGGGAGGGGGAGCAAAGGGAGGGTGGCAGAGAGCCCCCCTTACAGCACACTGGGTACCCCCTGTGCTCAGAGGAGCCCCAGACCCTGGGCTTGTGTTGGGGTTCGGGACCAGGACAGCCCAGTTGTGTGAATGTGGTGCAAGGAACGGGATGGGGAGCTGGGGGGGCTGCTGGTCAGCAATTCCAGCCCTTAGAGCCTTCCTGAGAGCAGCACAGGGGTTAATGCAGCTTCCACCCAGCAGAGTGGTGATAACCAAGGAGGAGAGCCCAGAACCCCTTGGGTGCTGCTGGCATCAGGGTGGCACTGAGCTGGGATGCTCCGGCTCCAGCTCTTTGTGCACTGGAGAGCCCATTATGGGTGCCTGCAGCACAGAGCCCGATCCCAGATTATCCCCTGATGGGATTAGGGGTAATCCTGGTTTTCTCTAAACGCTCCCGGGACTTCCCATCCCCGGTGCCCACTCCTCTGGGGAGAGGCTTTGCTGCTGTGGGATGAGTCAGGTGAAGCTGTGTCTGAATGGAAGACAGGCTCGATGTTAAAGCAGATTAATTAAGCTGCATTAGGGGCCTGTGTGGACAGGGTTCAGAATGAAAACAGCTTTAATTCGATTCCTCTGACTTGCAAATCGCAGCGGGGAAGTCAGCTGAGATCACATTAAGGCCGTTTCCACCCCGCACCGTGTCCTCGCAGGGCTTTAATGCAGTTTAACTAATTCAATTGAAATGCTTATTGAGGCTAACCGGGTTACATGCTGGTGCGGGGCTGGAGCCGCCAGGCCTCGGGCTGGGACGCTCGTGTGGGGCCGGGAGGGTGGGAATGGGACAGGAACATCAGCCCCATCCCATTGTGTGGGCCCCAAACCCACGGTTTGGGGTGGAAAATCCTCCTTTGTGCCCCTCAGGTGCTCTGGCAGAGCATCCCTGCGGATCCACGTCTGCATCCGTCACCGCCACTCGGGCTCGGTGCCCTTGGCACGCTTCATGCCATGGATGTTCCAGGGCTGCAGTGGCTGGTGCTGGAGGGCTGGAGAAGAAAGAGGAGGCTTTTTGTTCCCCACCGCAGTGGCCGGAGCTGGGCTCAGGACAATGAGGGGCTTCTTGAAGCTGCCGTTCCTTTGCCCCATAGAGGAAATGTGTCCCTGACACCACCCGACAGCAGCAGCCCCATGAGAACACCCAAGCAAGGGGTGCAAGGACCCCAAGGGCAGCGTTCCAGCCTTTGGGTGCTCCTCCATGGCCACTTTGGCTTCATCAACGAGGACACAGGATGCTCCTCGTGGCTCCAGGGCTGCTCAGCCCCTTGCCTGCATCCCACAACTCACTGATGCTTTGGAGCGTGCCCCCAGCTCACAGAGCCAGGGCCAGGCGCGGTGGGCAGGGGGGGACAGGCCGGGTGCCCCCCCCAGCACTGAGCAGTGTGTCAGCCCCTGCGGCCGGCGCTGAATCACCCGCCAGCTATTCCCCACACAAAGGACCCATTCTGCCCTGCCTTCGCCGTGCGGGTGTCACCGGCTCCGATGTGGCGGCTCCCGGGGCTCCCAGCCTGAAAGCCGGGCCCTGGCCCAAAACTCCTCATTGCCACGAGCCCTTTTCCCTTTCTTTTTGGGTCTGAATGGGAAAGCCTCATTTTACACGGGAAGGGAGAGCGGCTGCACAACCCCAGCCCGACGGCTGCTCTGGAACACAAAGCGTGAGGCAAAGTGGGTGCAAAGCGCCAGCCCCCAGCTCCATAAATCCCAGCTGAGGGTTGAATTGTGCCCTGCGTGAACCCCACACCCAGAGGGAATCAATCTCCCGGTGTTTCCAGCCGCGGCTTTGTCACCAGTTAGGATGTTGTGATTGGATTGGATGCGAGCGGATTGAAGCCTCCCGGGGCAGAGTCAGCCCGGCGGGTGCTGGGCTGTGGGGATGCTCCCGGGATGTATCCCTGGACCCAGGCTCGAGGTTCCCCCTTTGCTGCAGCCGGGATCTGAGCTCCGCGGTTCGGGAATGATGATCCCAAGGAGGGCCGCTCCCAGGGCCGCGGGTCCGGCGCTGCTCAGCACCTTCACCTCACCCTGGTCCTCTCCAGCACCTGCTCCCCAGCGCCGCCGAGGCACAACGGAGCTGCTGCGGCTCTGAAGGAGCGCTGCGAGGCGCAGGACGGGGCTCCCACAGCGCATCCGTGCGGGGACCCGGGGGGCACCGGGAGAGGCGGTCACGTTCCGGGGCAGGAGCGGCCCCAGCGCAGCCGCCCGCGGGGTTTGGGCCCCGCTCCTGGGCAGGGGGATCCGGGCCGGGGGGTTCCATCCCCGCGCTGCTGAGCGGCTCCGCGCCTCAGTTTCCCCGCACGGGGCACACGAAGGGAACGCGGTGCCCCCGGGACCCGCCGGGCCCAGAGCAGCGGCGCCGGCCCCGCTTTCACCCGGAGCTGCGGGCGGGGCGGAACGGAGCCCCCGGTGCCCCCCAGTTTCTCTCCTCCTCCTCCCGGCTCGCCCTCCCGTCCCACGGGGCTGCCGCAGCCGCTGGCGGAGCGCTGCTTCCCTCTAGCGGCACCAGGGGCTGCTGGGCCGGGGAGCGGCTCGGTAAAGCGGGCAGACCCCACCGGTGGCTGTGCGGCCCTGACGCCGCTCCACCACGGGCCGGCCCGGCTAGGGCCGGGCCCCACTGCCCCTGGCCGGGCGGTGCCGTGCAAGCGGGGAGCGGGCACACGAGGACCCCAAGCCCCACAGGCCTCCGCCGCTGCTCGCCTCTAGGACTACAACTCCCGACAGGCCCCGGGGCAGCGGGGAGATGAGGCCAATAGGAAGCGGCTTTACTCAGAGACCGTGCCGTCGCCGGGAGTTGTGTGCCTCTCCGCAGCAGGCGGTGCTACGGTGAACTACATGTCCCAGAATGCCGCGGGGAAGCGCTGGCCAATGAGGAGCGTGCGTCTTGGCGCTGCGCGCAGGCGCGCAGGGGCGGGTGGCCGCGGATTCATGTGGAGGTCAGGGGCGCCGCGGGAGGGGAGCGGGACGGGCGGGCGCGGTAGGTCCGGGGCTGGGATCGGGAACCGGGAGCCGGGACCGGAGGTGGAGCGGAGAGCGGGGGCCAGGCTGCGGCGGGAGCGGAGCCTCGGCTCTCGGGCGGCTGCCCTGGGGGTGTGAGGCCTGGAAGGGAGGCGGCGGGCTGGGCTCGGGGCCCGGAGCCCGTGCTGGGGTGCGCTGCGGGGCTGTGGCCGGGGGCCTGCTCCTCGGTGAGGGTGCGAGACCCCCGTGCGTTTTGCAGGAGGGAACTCCAAAAGGAAAGGCTGGACCCGGAGGTGTGAGATGGCCGCGAAGGTGTTTGAGAGCCTGGGGAAGCTCGGCCTGGGGCTGGCGGTTGTAGGAGGAGTTGTGAACTCGGCGCTGTACAACGGTGAGTGCGGGAGGCTGAGAGCTTCCCTTTGGCTTGTACCTTTGGGTTTGGTCGGTGTCGGAGCCACCGTGTGCGTTCACTGCTGATGGCAGCAGGGGGACACAGCTGTAAAGCCTTGCTGGGCTGTTTTATGCCCTGTGCATTGCACAAGCGGGATTGCAAGCTGTTGGCTCCCTTGGGAGCAGACTGCGAGGCCAGGAGCCATGGCTGCATCGTCTTCTGGCCTTGTTGTTCCAAACAATGGCATTAATTTCACTGCAGCAAAAGGCTTTGACTCCCCCAACAGACTGCTTCCACAGAGGTGGTTTTGGAACCAACACGGCTCTTGTCTTCTCCAGTTGATGCAGGCCACAGAGCTGTCATCTTTGACCGATTCCGTGGGGTCCAGGACGTGGTGGTAGGAGAAGGCACCCACTTCCTCATCCCCTGGGTGCAGAAACCCATCATCTTCGACTGCCGCTCCCGGCCCCGGAACATTCCCGTGATCACGGGCAGCAAAGGTGAGCGCTTGCTTTGGTTTGGTTTTTTTCTGGATGTGGAGATCCCAGATCCAGTTGGACACAGTCAGGAATGGTTTGAGCTTGGTTTTAGTTCCAGAACAGACTGGACCATTCCTTCGGTCCTGTCAGTCATCCCTTTAACCATAAAGTCTTTCCAGTAGGGCAGTAATTCCCTTCGTCACCAATAAGCTGCTGTTTGAATCTTGTCTGGGATGGGGCTTTGGATCCCAGGGTGCAAAGGGCAGTAAAAGTAACTGGTTTATTTCTCGTTTAGTCACCCTGGAGAGGACAAACATCTCCTGTCCCTGTGCTTTGCCACTCACCTCATGCCTCTTCCCACAGACCTTCAGAACGTGAACATCACATTGCGTATCCTGTTCAGACCAGTGACTGCCCAGTTACCCCGCATCTTCACCAGTATTGGAGAGGACTACGACGAGCGTGTGCTGCCCTCAATCACAACTGAAATCCTCAAGTCTGTTGTGGTAAGGACAGGCCCTGTTGCTCATCTTTCTTCCCTCTTTTTAGCAGCTGGAGCACAGAATACGTTGTGCTCTGGAATAAGGTTTCTCTTTCCACTCCCAAGGCTCTCAGAGGCCATCCAGAAAAGCTTACACTTAAACTCCCAGTCACTGAGTCTTTTGTTTCCACTCCATGGCCAGCTCAATGTCTGGGAGCTTTGGGAGAGGAGCTCTGCAGCTCATGGTGCAAAGACGGGAAGGACACAGAGAATCTCTCACTCTGGGAGCTTCCTTCTCACTGTTCATCCTGATTTCAGGCTCGCTTTGATGCTGGAGAATTGATCACTCAGAGAGAGTTGGTGTCAAGGCAAGTGAGTGAGGACCTCACGGAGAGAGCAGCAACCTTCGGGCTCATTCTGGATGATGTGTCCTTGGTAAGAGTGCTCCCTTTTTGGTTTTTCTCCTTGGAGTCTGCCCAGATAAGAGCAGTGGAGAAAAGAGTCAGTGCACAGACAGAGAGAAGGGGGCTGGAAGTCTGGACCCATGGACTGTGTTTGTCTGCCTGCAGTTGCATAGGATGTGGTGGTTACAGCTCAAAGCAGTACCTCTGCTTTTGTCACTGGTCTTCTGTGACCTTGAGCAAGCCCTTGAAGGCTCCTCTGTGCTGGCTCATTGTCAGGCTCCACTGCTGCAAGGCTTTTGTAGTTCAGATGAGGAGCAAATGCTTCTGGGGGTGATGGATCAGGCTTTAGAGAAAAGAGCTGCTCCCCAAGCACCTTGAGATACAGGGAGAAAGTGCCGGGCTTGAGGAAGCAGTGAAAATACCTGCTTCTGATAGTGTCCTTTTCCTACAAAGTATTTGGTTTTCTCCTGACTATTCAAGGGGGGAGCTCTCCCTCTCTCCCTACAAGCTTTGTAAATGAATCTTGTTGTAATCAGGCTTGTACTTGCCCCTCTCCCTCTCTTCTTGGACCTCTCTCAAAAGCCTGCTTGGAGGACAGGGGTATATAGGCAGTCTTTGCAGGAAAGTGGCTTTGTTTCTCAAAAATGTAAGTTTTGACTCTGTGTTTCTGGTGCTTTCTCCTAAGCACACTCCTGAAGGAGATCCACCTTTCCCCTGTCCCATCCCAGGAGCCTGAAGCTATCCAGACTACCCAGGCTGAGCACAGTGGGGTATAATGGAGCAGGAAAGGGCTCTTTAAGGGATCCTGGCTCTCCATCCCCATCCCAGTTCCACTGATGCACCCTGGGAGCTGTGTGGGTCGCAGCAGCACTGCTGTATGCTGTCAGTGGCGTGACCTTTGCTTGCTTTGTGCCCTGCAGACTCACCTGACCTTTGGCAAGGAGTTCACAGAGGCTGTGGAGATGAAGCAAGTGGCCCAGCAAGAAGCAGAGAGAGCGAGATTCATTGTGGAAAAGGTACCTTGTCCTTCTGAGAAACTTGCTAAAGGTTCCTGGTATCTCCTTCCCACTCCAGCTTGCAGTGAACATCTGACAGGGCCAGCTGAATGATGAAATCACTTGGTGCTGTAATGCTGATGTGGTTCTCAGCTCTGGCTTGTGATTATTGGATAGATAAAGCCTAAGGTTGGGTTTGGGGGTCATCTTTTTCTTCTTACTGGGCTGCTGAACAGAAATGTCTGCATGGAGCCAGGAGGAAACGGCACTCAGGAGGGAGTGTCAGTTAGGAATGGGGTTCAAGGCTGAGATCTGCATCCCACATGATCCCAGTGTTTGGGAATTTTGTGAGGCTGGTCAAAGCCGTGTGTGGTGTTGATATCATTGGCACAGAGGCCTGTGTCCTAGGGGTGTTACTGACCACAGGGGATGCACGAGCACATGATCCCAGATCAACCCAAGATCCCAGTGAGCATCTACAGAAACAATTTGGTGTTCAAGTGTTAAAGTTCCCTGGCCCAACACGTGCCTGTGGGGATTGAAAAACCTGCAGCCAACACCCCATGCAATAAGATGCATGTAATCTGTCAAGATGATTAAACAGCAGAAGTGTTTATTTGACCTGGGTTTAACTGCACTGGTGAAGTTCTCCAGTCTTTCAGACGGTTTTCCACCAGGATTGTCCTTTGGTCTGTTAATGTTTCATAAGGTTAAAACCGATAAGGCAATTTCAAGATGATTTTTCAACCTTTTTTTTCCACAGTAGGCAGGAAAAGAGTCTTAACAGAATACAGCTTTAAAATAACCCCATCTATCTTGGGGGGAAGAGAACAGGAGGGAGGGGAAATGGGAATTCTTATCTTAAACATGGCAGTACCATCTTCCTTCCCTTTGCTCTTATTTTCTCTGTTGGTTGTTCCCTGTCCTGTCTGTTCCCAGGCTGAGCAGCAGAAGAAAGCGGCTGTGATCTCTGCTGAGGGAGACTCCAAAGCAGCTGAGCTCATTGCCAACTCGCTGGCCACTGCAGGCGATGGCTTGATCGAGCTGCGCAAGCTGGAGGCCGCTGAGGACATCGCCTACCAGCTCTCACGGTCCCGCAACATCACGTACCTGCCCTCTGGACAGTCTGTGCTCCTCCAGCTGCCGCAGTGAGCCCGGGCACCTCTGCCTCCCAGATCAGCCCTTTCCAAAAGAGTCTGTGCAATTTCCTCATTGGTAGAAAGAGAGGAAATGAAAATTCAACCCATTTTGAATTCTTAATCAAATAAAACCGCCCGCTCTTGAGAACAGACCTGCATTCCTCCCCTCTACGGCCAGAGCAGTGGCTTTGGCCTTTAAGCTAGGTTTGAGAATTGCCCCTTTCCAGGCAGTTTGAGCAACAGGAGCAGAGTTTCATCTGTTCACTCCTGGAGCAAAGCAGTAGCCCAGGTGACTCCCTGACCACAAGAGTGCTCTATCCATCAGGTTTCACAGCAACGCTTCAGTGCCTTCAGGCTGGCTTAGCCGGGGTTGCTGCAGACTTGCAGGTCCTAGACTATGGGACAGGGATGCCCAGGGCTTGCTGTTCAGTCAAGCCAGTCTGTTTTCAGGTGTCAGCTGAGTGTAAGTGGCTCTGCCTGTGTGAACCATAGCACTGATAGCTGGAGGCGCAGGTTGAGCGGCTGGTGGCTGGGGGTGAGAATAGCAAGAGATTTGCTTTATGTAGTGGATGGATTTCAGGCACAGAGAAGATACTTCCTCTGCAGGAAATGCTTCTCAGGTACATGCTGGACATCTCCACTTCTCCCCCTGCTGCAGCACTCTGATGTGTTTGCTGCTGCTTGCCCTGTTGTGCAGCATTGGTTCTTTCATCAAGGTCAGCTGGCCTATTGCAAACGGCACCTGGGACAAAGAGGGGATGACTCGGTGCTCCGTGGCTCAGGCAGTCAGAGGTGGGCAGAATTCTCTGTTACATCAATGCTCTTTTTATGTAGGGAACCTGAATTGTGAGGAGGATGTGATGGGTGAGATTGTATAACCAGCCTTCAATAAATGTCACAGTCCCAACTGTAGTCGTGTGGGGTGTTGGTGGTTTTTTGCTGTCACAGAAGAATGAAGGTTGGGTCAGTGGAGCGAGAACCTTGTGCTATTGTGTGGATATGTCACTTAGTGCAGGGCAATAGGTCTTGTTCCTGACAACTTAAAGCTTGAAACATGATTCTTAGGCTGAATTCCTGCAGCAAGGTAAGGCTGAGAGTATCTTGAGGTTATTGCAAGGGCTTTTAACTGCTTTCCATGCACTGTTCAAGCTGTTGTTTACTGCATGTGCATCTTCCAGGGTGCTCTTGATGCAACACCATGCTGTTGGAAAGAAAACGGGGGTGTATTGTACCAGATACAGCCTACAGTGCTTCATGTGTGTCAGCAGCTACTCCTATCCTGTAAACAGGGTGCTTGTACAATGCCTGTTATCCTGAGGAATGGGATCTCGGGTGGGTGTCATCACTGCCCTGAGGGTGTTGAGCCCTTGGGAAAGCTGCTGGGAACGGTGGCCTTGTTTCCTCTTCTTACAGCCACTTGGAGTCCTTGCCCTTGGAGAGACTCCCGTGCTCTTTGTGCTGGGCAGAGTCTGTGCTTGCAGTGATGAGGTGCCTGAGCTTGCAAAATATTTTAAGCAGCTGAGCAGTCAGGTCCATAACTCCCAAATAACTTCCAGACCTCTCCCCCCTCCAGTGCTCTTGTTCTTTATTCCTCTGGTTTACCACTTCAGACACTTCTAAGGAAGCTTCCACTTTCCTCCCAAGGTTCCTTTTAAAGCCCCCTTAGTGTTTCCTGCGGCAGGTGTTGGGCTCAGAGCAGAGTGCCTGAAATCCCTTCTCAGCTGCTGTAGTTCTGCATCCCTTCTCCCTCCAGTCCTGCATTTTCAGTGGAGTGTGGAGTGTTTCCTGCTGCTTTTGCTCTTGGACTCTGGAGGAGGGGCTCCAGCAGTGGCCCCTGGGTCTGATTAATCACCATTTCCTTTGCTTTTGGGTGTAATTCTTTTCACAAATGCTCCCTGGCTGTTCACTGCTCCTTTTACCTTGGCTTTGCCTCACTTAATGCCTAAAGCTGCCATCAACTCATCAGACTTCAAAGCTGCTCTTGAGCCTGTGGCTGGCTGGGGGTGTGCTCACTGAACCCCTTGTTCATATTGTGTTTACAGCTGCTCTTCAGCCTTGGTGGAGACCATCTCCAGATGGGAGCAGTGACCCTAAAACCAGGATGTGGTTTAGTGCACAGGGATACTGGGTGAGGAAACAGCCACTTGCTGGCTGGATGCTGCTCCAAGTTGTGCAGCAGTGAGCAAGCATTGCCTGGCATCCTCTGCCAAACTCCTCAGGTGCTGGCAGGCTCCTTGATGTAAGAACAAACCAAGAAGTTGAGCTTGTGCAGCCAGGGCTGGACTGGAGAGTCAAAGGCTGGACCCTGCTTCCCAGAGCAGCAGGTGGGAGGTGCGAGCAGGGTGTGAGCGCTCGCTCTCAGCACTCTGCTTGTCAGGGCAACAGACAGAGCTTTGGGCTTGGGTAACATGCAGGCAGCTGCCCTGGCTGCTCCCACAAACAGGGTGTTCCCACCCTCGCTGGTGTTTCCAACCTTGTTGCTCCTAATAACCCAGTACCAAGAAGCTGCTGGTGAAAGTGGAGCCCGGCCTGGGGTGGAGAATCGAGAGAGGGTCAAGGCATGCGGCTGTGCAGTGGGGGCAGAGAGGTGAGAGATGGAGGCTGCAGCTCTGCTGCCAACCGTGACAGACCGCGTTAGCGAGCACGGATGATTGCCAAGCGGTTACCTTTTCAAGAGGCAAAACAAATCCAAGCTGAGGAGCCGCAGGGGCCGCAGCCCGGCTGCTCTCCCACCAGATGGCAGCAGCAATTCTGCTGCTGCAGCGGGACCAAAGGGTGTCCCTCAGCATCCCGGGGGCTGGGGAGTGGGGAGGTCTCCGTTCCCCGGGCAGAGGGCGCAAGGAGTGGAGGTGGACCAGGGCTAACACAATAGCAGACTCCGGTCGAGGAGGAAACAGCACAAGCTGGTGCAAGAGGGTTCAGTCCCTGTGTCAGGCTGTCCTGGTAAACCTCTGCTGCACCTTTCACTGCTGGGTACCTCCAGCGCCAGGTTTTAACTTCCCCCAGCCTAAGGCAGCACACTGAAAGACGCAAACTCTTTTTCTACGCCTGGTCCCGGGTGGCTTGGCTTTGCAGCCTGACTCCCTGCAGCCCTGTTCCTCCTTTCTCCAGGCCATCTTTAGTTCATTACTAATTCAGAATGGATAGGAACAACAGAAATGTCTAGGCATGACTTGAGAAGTGTAATGTGGTTTAGCTTGATGTTTGAAAACAGCATTGAGTCTTTGGGTCCAGAATGTTAGCATGATGAATTCATACTGGAGCTATGTTGGTAAAAGCTTGGCAATTTTTAATCTGAAGCCCTGTAGTTCTGTGGTTCCAGGGTGATGAGAGTATTTATCTGAATACAGCCCAAAAACTAAGCTACAGGGACTAGGTTTGGGGCAAAGTCTGCTGGTAATGGGCAACATAAACCTGCTGGGGCAACTGAAGGGCTCTGTGTGATGGGGAGTGCACCCTCTGTTGCTAGAATGCATCTCTTGCTTGAGACCGAGGAGCAGCAGTCCATTGCCACTTAAGGTGAAATCTCCCTGCCCATTGCTCTGCATTGGCTGCAAACCTCCAGAGAGGTTTGAGTTTAGGGTTTTCTTCCTGGGAGACTTTGCCTTACGTCTTCCCTTTGTGCTAGTGGAAGAGCTGAGCTCGGCACCAGCCTGCTGGCCACGTTCACACCAGCCAAACAAGCTTTGTTCCTGATAAACAAACAGGAAACTGCCTGATTTCCTCTGTGTGCTCACCCTCTCTTGTGCTCGCTCCCTATTTAATAGATAACCAGCCTACCTGACTTGTGAAGAGGAGACCAAAAGCAGCCACGTGGACAGCAGCTGGAATTTGCAGCATGGCTGTTGCACTGAAATGGGCATCTCTGCCCTGACAGTCACGGATGCACAGGAGCTGAAACACCTCCAGGTAAGGGAGCTCCCCGTGTTTGTGATAATCTGTACCCTGTAGCAAGCTGGCAGCATGGCTGAAAGTGGTTAGAGCCAAGGGGTAGGGAGGAGTTTCCTTATTGCTTCCTTTGTGCTGTTTATATCTGAGTGGATCTAGTGCTTCTGTCCTGAAACACACAGGATGTGGCGGGGTGTGCAGGGGGAAAAGGCACTTGTGGAAGTGGGTAGGAAATTATGTCTTTAACCAGGCTGGAGCTCAGCTCAGCTGGGAGATGGGGAACAATTCGTAGGGCCAAATTTGGTCTAATTATTCCTTGCCTGGCACTAGGCAGCACTAGGGCTGATCTATTCCTCATATGCCTGTTTTCCATCAGCAGAACTGAGCTGACTTCAGACCAGCAAGTCCTGACTTACTTCACTGCTGTAGTTCTCAGAGGTAGGTCAGTTTTACTTAGGGATGATTTGAGGCTTTGTGCTTTGGTTTTCTACTTGGTGAAGGGGGAGGAGATTGTCACAGATAGAGAGGTATCAGAGTCAGTGATAGGGGACATGAAGTCGGTTCTAGCTAGTGGATGCAGAACAAACTGTCAGAGAAAGGGATGCATCTGATGTCTCTAGAGAAATGCCCACCCATAGCCAGGCTGGGTTCACTTTGCCCACCCATAGAAAGCTATAAAATCCCAAATCTACAGGGAAAGGACCTGGTGGAACAGGCACCCAGTTCATACTGAACACAGAAAGAAGGGCTAGAGCCACCAGGAAGCTCCCATGGGAGGCTTAGTTCAAATGCTGCTGTAACCACAGTGTTTGGGGTTCCTCATACTGGATCCACACATGATGCAGATTTGGACTGAGTCAGAGCCCACCGGTGAATTATCCTTGATCTCTGAGAAGCCAAAGCTGTGCATGAGCATGAGAAACTGTCCCAGATTGAGCTGCAGGAGGGCAGTGCACAAGGTGGAAATAGTGGAAGATGCCAGTTGCAAGATGCATTCGTGCCCCCCATGCTGGTAGGGGCAGGAAGGGCAGGAGAAGGCTGGAAAGCGTGTGTGCAGGATGCCTCTGAGCAGCAGGTTAAAAGTACCCAACAGAGGCAAGAACAGGAAGGAAGCAGGGCTCAAGCCTGAACAAGGTGAGTCTTTCCCAGAGCCCTTAATTTGAACATGATTTCATGGGTAGAAATCCTGCAGTGCCCCTTCTGCAAAGCTGGTAAATACAGCTCTGTTTCTCTGTTGCTTACAGCATCTTCCTCCCAAGCAC